ATAAATAAATTTTTAATTTTTTAAATATTTTTTATATTTTTTTGTATATATCTATCAAAATTTAGTAATTTTTAGGCCATTTTTAACTCGTGGATATGCGAAGCGTAGAAACTTGTTATTGTGAGGGGCCTAAATAAGTAAATTTTTTACTCAATTACTCACTCACTAAGATGTTTATAGCAGATCGATTATTTATAAATCAGCTTTTTTGTAATACAAACGTTACACGAAACCTAGCATTCGCACATAGCTTTATCGTTGCATAATATATTTCAAAAAAAAAATCAAGATAATATATATGCAGGTTGCATCCGGATTAAAAAAAAAACAAAAAAACTCCTAACTCTAGACGTTAATACTATAAATGAGCATAAGAAGCATAAAATAGGTATGTTTCAATTCCTTTAATGAGAACGAACTAATTTTATTACGGCATTCAAGATACGCCTTCGGATCAGCGAACAAAAATCTGTCAGTCTTATCATACCGACTTGAATGAAGACAAGTTGAATAAGATCATAAAGTCGTACTTTTGTCTTCGTGTTGCCGAACCGAACCGGAACGTTACAATACGCATAACGCAAAGCTCTTGTCAGGGGCGGGGAAGTAAGAGGTGCACAGGCAGCCCGCATCTCAAGAGTGCAAGTATGTTTCAAAGGAGGGCATCCTCGAGTCCCTCGAGTTTGCCATGCGGCAGTTTGATTTGTCGTTGGTCGGAAAAAGGTCTTTTACTTAGCTCATATTTTTATTATAAAGAAAAGAGACTTGTTAGTTTGATTAAATGATAGTTAGGCTTTAGGAATCTTTTAGTTTTATGATTTGTTGTTCTCCCAAAACCTCATATAAATCCTCTTGAAATGAATCAGATTAGAAGTCAAATCGAATAGTCTTTCTTCATCTTGAATCGGCGTTGAATGCGGTGCGTTGTTGATATATATTTAACACTCTGTCCAGCGATTAGCTAGTCCGACTGATTCGTCTATTTATTTTGTATCGAGATATTCACTTGTTTTTGATTTACAGAACATGAATTAATGAGAAGAAAGTTGAGATGGCAGCCCGTGGAACAACATCAAGTACAACTTCTCTTCCTCCATTAATCATAACGCCGCCTACCGCATTACCACCAAGAATCATACCGTCTTCAGTTCCAGTGACAGGTAAATACCAAGGGCGATAAACTGACTATGCTTTGTGCGCTATTAACTTTTGGTACGTGTCAATTAAAGTGTTTTCTATAACACCAGGTACATTTTATGAATATTGCTTATATGCAGTTGCTTTGCAATATGAAAAACGCGAAAAACCTTTAATGTTAAGTTTTGTCTGTTCTTACCGTTTAAAGTTATTCTTGAATAAACGTGAATAAGCTGTCTTCTGGATTTTTTCGGTCCTTTGAGGAAATCCTTTCAGTAAAATGCCATCGTTATCTTGTAGTCATTTGTAATGTTGGCCCCTTGTTTCCCTGCTAGCAGAGTCTCCTTCGTTGGCGATTCTTGGAAAAGGAAATAGGAGACTCTGCCGGTCTAGGCCGTTTTCTTTGTTGCGCATGCTCCCTGGTAACCTAGCAACCTAGTAACCTAGCAACTGTCATATGAGCTCGTGGTTGACTCGTGTTTCTTTTAAAAAAATTCAATGACCAATATTCGTTAGTGATTTGCTCTTTCTTCGTTTATCTAAATATTCAAACATACGTCGTCATTTCCTTGGCTGCTCTTTTTCTTTACTGAAGACTTCAAAGTATATATTCATATATCTTAAGGATGTTAAGCTTAAATATCAAAGTTTTTGGATTCGCGGCCAGTACGAGTAGATGAAGATAGAAACTGCTTATATTTTGTGGTATAAAAACTTTAGTTTGACCCAACGAATAATTTTTTTTTATAACGAGAAGACTTTATAGGGTCTTTACCGACTGTGCGCTCAAAAAATATTGAGCGGTTTCTACATTTGCTCATGCCTACTACTTATTTCCGGTTAAAACCGGTTTCAAAACTTGTTTGGTTCGTCCATGATCGTGGACGGCGGTATATCAAAGAAAACGGCCTAGACCGGCAGAGTCCCCCTTTTTCTCTGCTAAGAATCGCCAACAAGGGAGACTCTGCTAGCAGGGAAGTCCGTTGTAAGTTTGCATGAAAATCTCAGTGAAATTTGGCGGCCGCATTTTTGTTTTATAATTGCCATGATTCTTCAGTTTTATATTATTTTTATCTTTACCGTCGAAAACCTCAATTCCTTTCTTTGAAACAGTCTCGTTTTTTGTACAATCGATTTTTAAAGAATTTTTAAAGAAAACAAGCAGAGATTCCAGCAAAACTTGACCACCACGTGCACTTGTTTGCTTTTCGCTACTGACTAAATAATCTATCACAGGATCAGATAGTGAGTACGTTAGCCAATCAGAGGGCAGGATTCGTGATAGTATGCTATTAGATTTATGCTAATAATAAATGACGGCCCTGCCTTATTATTGAGTAAGCACTAATAATCACTATCATATGTGTTATACGTTTATAGTCCGAATGAGGGCATTGGTGAATAGTTTAAGTCGTATACTTATGATAATGGGCAGGGTTTTCCATTTCTTAAATCTTAGAGAAAAATCTAGAGAGTAACAAATTTGGCAAGGATATTGAGGAACAAAATTACAGCCAGCTAGCTTTTTTTCGTTCTTGATGTGATTTTCATAATGTATTTGCAGGTACCTCAAGTACATTTGAATTGAGGGAGGAACAAAAAAGATGGCTTGTTATCGGCATATGCTTGCACAAGATTCTTCTTCCTACCTTGAGAGATTACATCAAGTCAGAAATGCTAACGCATTATGCAAACCTGAAAAGTAATCATAACATTGACAAGCAGAAGTACCCCACGCGTCTAAAAAAAGATAGCAAGCATAAACTGAATTATGGCAGCATCAACAATAATGAAGCCAATCACGGGAAAAAAGTTAAACTTTACGACTATGGAGTGAAATCTGAAGTGGACTTAGCCAAGTTGTATTTGTCACCTAATATGGCCAAATTTTCAGGTATGTGGGGTTTCTTGCTACGGCACCGTTGTCATTGGCGAGTCACATTGCATTTTGTCCATTGACAAAGCGATCGCGCAATTTTTTGTCGATTTTTTTTTTCTAAGAAATTGGCACATGAGTAGTTTTTGAGTAATACCGTAGGAAAACAAAATAAAAATTAGGTGTCAAGGTGCTCGTTTGGATGCTGTTAACGCATTTATTTACAGTAAACAAGAGCTCCCTGAGTGATATCTCCACTTAGAGATTAGTTTTTTTTAAAACTTAACTCGGCTTTATTTGGAGTTAACAGGCCAAGCAAATTTTGTGAAAACTTATTTTGTTTATAAATATTTTTATTTCAAAGAAGACTTTGTAGTATATTTGCATAAGAACACCACATGAGAGGTCACGTGACAGGAGTTAGGGGAGAGCGAAGACCGTCATGTTGTGAGCTCAAGCTTAAAGTTGTGGAAATAAAGAATATAAAAGACTTGATACAGGGTTGGAGTGCTCCTTAAAACTGATAATATAAATACAATTTGGTGATTTCATTTGTTTAACTAGGCCTTGATGATAGCTGTGATCTGTCTGCTGTGCTTGGGATTCTGCCTTTAGCAAGCGTCTTTTCTTCTGTGGTTCAAAGTCTATCAAATGATGTAAAGACAGACATTCGCAATGAATGGGGCCATTGTAATTTTGGTGTCTGGAGCAAAACAAAGTTTCTGAAGTGTTTTCAACAAATGGATTCTCTTGTGAGAGCTTTCAAATTGTCACCGGCAGAACAGAAAAGGGTTACAGACGAGTTAATAGACTGGGAAACTAAAGGTATGTCCTTTCAACGATAAATAAACTTTACTATGAGGTATAAAAATTAGTGTACACGATCAAATCACGATAGATTTGCAGTACAACTTTCAAATGATGAATTCTGATCAAATGATCTATTATCATGCACTACTTATAGTACACTCAACAAAATTACTCGACTCTGATTGGTGGAGAGGAGTACAATTATAGCGTTAATTGTACTCCGTAGGAGTACCGAATTAAGTCGCTATGGCAACACGGCCAAAACAATGTCAAAACAATTATTTTCTATCATTTTGTACTTAAAAAACATAAATAAAATTTCAAAGCCGTAAGAACTAATCTTTTTTATGCATTTCAGTTGTGCGATGGACTATAAATCGGCCGCCAAATAGACAAAGATGAACGGCGTCGCTTCGCATTTTTTACTGAAATTTTGTTGAGTGAACTATAAACAAAAAATCGCACGATCTTCTTGTACAATTTGGAATAAATAGACACTCGTAATGTTTTGAAAGTTCTTTAATTGCACTCGCCTAAAGGCTCGTGCAATTACAAGAACTTTGAAAACATTACTCGTGTCCATTAATTTCCAAATTGTACTCGAGATCGTGCGATTTCCTATACTAGGAATATAATACTGAAATGCTAAAAACCTAAGGTAGAAGGTGAATAGTAGCTTTCTTTAATTAGATAAAATTTAATTTCAATTCGCAAATTCAATTCAATTTAAATTTAATTTCTAGGAGTGCAACTTTGCACTGGCAACATGGTTGATGCAGATTTAGTAAAATTTGTGCAACAAGAAGTTTTTCAACTGCATGATGAAATAAAGCGTCTATGGCACAACCACGATGATGAAGTACAGAAAATTACCGATTCATTACAAACTGCAGAAGAAGCTATTCAAAAGTATCAAGAAGTTACAAAAAGTCAACTAGAGTCTTTCAAAACATCCCATGAAAGTACAATCCACAAAGTAAATGAACTTGTTGATGTTACAACCGAAATTGCGAAAGATGTGGATTCCTTGAAAGCATCTCAAAATGAAATGGAAACTGAAATAGTCAGTGTTAATCAAACCCAAGACGTATTTGCCCAAAGAATCAATGAAGGGGAAATGAAGTATGAAATCCTGGATAAAAGAGTTGAAGCCCTAGAATCGGCTATCGAAACAAGAAGTATTGACCGAGCTATCAATATTTTCCAGGCACCGAATCGTATTCCGTGTTTTCATGGTCGTGGCCAAGAGCTACTTGCACTTGAAGGGCAAATGAAAGATATAGTGAGCCCATGCAAAATGACAGCAGTTTGTGGCCTTGGTGGAACTGGAAAAACGTCACTTGCTATAGAACACATTTGGCAGAAAATAGAATCGTACAGCGGTGGTGTGTTCTGGATATCAGGAGAAAGTAACCATCTTTTTAATCTTTCTGTTAGTGAAATGGCTCGACAGATAGGAACTTTTGATGAAGACTTTAAAACCACTTTGTCCAAAACATTGGACTGGCTACAGAATCGACATGATACATGGTGCCTGGTGATTGACAACTTGGACGAACTGGAACTTTCAACTGACATGATGAAATTAGTTGGGGGGCACTGGAAACGGCAATCTTGTGGGCATATACTGATTACTACAAGAAGAGAAAAGAAAAAATTGAAAGAAGATATTTCAGATCTTACTGAAGACAGCTGTATTGAACTGAAAAATCTTTCAGCCAGTGAGAGTGCTGAGTTCATAAAGAAAAGAACTGAAAGGCATGGAGATGAAGACGATATTGTGATTGAAGAACCAGTTGTGGAATTAGGTTGCCTTCCATTGGCACTCGACCAAGCAGCAGCATTTATCAAAAACGGGAAAGACATATCATTTTCTGATTATCTTGAGCAGTACAAAGCACAAAGATTGAAAACACTGAAAAGATCTAAAGCTCACTATCCAGTTCAAGACACTTCAAAAGATCGAATCGCTGTGCATACCACATGGCAGCTAAACTTTGAATACGTGTCTCAATTTTCAGAGGAATATGGAATCGGCCAGGCAGCTGCCCTGGTCATGGAGGTTTGTGCTTTCCTTTCGCCTGATGACATTCCAAACGAAGTTCTTAACCAAGGTTTGCCTAAAATTAACAACGAAGATTTACTTAAGTGCGTATCAACTGCATTTGGAAAAAATGATATATCGAGTGTTCTCACCAAATTCTCGCTTTTCCAAAAGTTTAGCAAAAAGTCTTTCAGTGTTCATCGTCTTGTTCAAGAGGTAATACAAGATAAAGTCAATGAAGAGGATCGATTAAAAGAAGTCCTTCAGTGTGCTTCAAGGATGCTTTATTATGCGTTTGCTAACAACAGATCACCGGTTGAGGTGTGCCAGAGTTTCCAGGGTGATTCAGTATTCAACCAAGAGAATCCTCCTTCTTTAAACTTATGGGGAAAACTTGGCGCTCATGCTTCTGTTTTGCTATATCACTTGATACAGAGCTCACAAAAGCATGATGAAATTCGACAACAAGTACTCTATAGTGAAGAATCGGTGATGTTACTAAACGAAGGGTCTGTGTATCTCAACGTATGTCGCCAAACAAAAGAAGCGATGGAGCAGAAGGAATCAAAACTCAAGGTCTTGACAGGATTGGAAGTTCCCTTAACAGTAGAGAAAGTTAAGTACATAAACTTTTTCGATGTTCCATTGAAGGACTTTCAATTCAAATTGATATCACATTGCATGGCAGCGCAGGAATCGGCTGTAAGTAAAGGAACCCAATGTAAGGCTGAAGGAGCTCAAAAAAGAAGGGAGGCAGATTGCTTGAGGCAGAAAGGAAACGAAGCCGTTAGGAGCAAAAAATTCGAAGAAGCATTGGCTCTCTACACAGCTGCTATTGAATGTATCAGAGATGATCCTCGATTATACAGCAATCGAGCTCTTTGTGAGTTAAAGCTTCAAAACCCAGAAGCTGCATTAAGTGATTGTGAAAGCTGCTTAAACATAGAAGAGCGAAACAGCAAAGCGTTGATGCGTAAGGCGTGGGCTTTGTACGAGCTTTCTAAAAAAGACGACCGGGAACCAAAGCTTCAAGGTAGAATGAGAGCTGCTGCTGCTCTTGCAGTGCATTATGATTCAACTCTACTAAAAGATAAGCTTTTCAATCAAATGTTTCCAAACGTGGAGTTTAAAGAACTCTCTAATTCTTCAGAACTGGCTGCATCGTTCATGTACAGCGTTCCAGGCAAGACGTATCTCCTTCATGACGGACATTACGACTTCCACGGTGCGATGCTTGATGTTGACACGCAGCTAGTAGCTCTCAAAAGGCATCAGGTCACATTAATATTTGTTGATTTGGGTGTATTTCAATCACGTCTTTATGCAGAGGGCTTAGTTTTTGCTAAAGGTAATGGAAGTATTGTATGCCAACAGAATGGATCTCTAGATTTTTTTAAATGCAAAATATCTGGTGGTTTTAGCTGCTGCAAGGATTATCCAGATTGTAATGGTGGAACTGGATGCATTGCTGGCCAATTTTTTGGAATAAAAGCATGTGACCGTACGGGAAAGTTTGGAGCGTCAGAAGTATCTGGTGTGATTGGCACTCCAAGTATTCGAATCATGCAAGAGAGTGACTGCAATGTGGAAAACTGTGATGTTACCGAATGCGGAGGGAAGGCCATCATATGTCAAGGCGAGGGATCTGTACTAAGAGTGGCATCATCTCGAGTGTATGGCAATCCGCAGTCTGGGCTTGAAGTTGTTTCTGGGGCCTGTCTTGTTGCAGTAAATAACGAAATTTATGGAAATGGCTTCCGTGGTATAATGATCAGTCCATCTCCTGGCACGTGTGAGATTTCTAAGAACAGAATATACGAAAACAAAAAAGACGCAATCACTGTTTTCCAAACAGATAAAAAACTTGTGATAGATAATAATAGAATCTATCATAATTTTGGCTTTGGTATTCAGTTATCAAATTGTGGTCAAGGAGAAATAATGGAAAACGAGATATTTGAGAATAGTTTTTATGGAATTGGTTTTGAGAAAACCTCTATATTGGTCGTTGAAAAGAATGTTATTTATAGCAACAAATGCGGTGGCATTTTCATTGGTCCTAACCATGCTGGTCGGATAGTTATTGAATCAAATATTGTTAGAGATCACAATGGGTCTTGGCTTGTGAATCAAAACGTGCCGCAGCCGCGGTGTAGGTTTCCCCAAAGGATAAATGCTACAAAAGCAGAATTTCAGTATTATGCCATCGCTCCTATTCTTTGCGATAACGAGCTCCTGAAAAACGAAGAGTGCATGTTTCATCCAAAAGAAAGATTGATATCAGTCCAAAGAGAGTGTGCGTTCTGCCGCAAGTCAAATAACCTTTCAAGGTGTTCAAGATGTAACATGGCGTCCTACTGTAACAGGAAGTGTCAAGAAAAACACTGGAGTAAACACAAAGCTTTGTGTTCTGCCCTTAATGATCAGTATTCATTAACCATCGAGCTAAAGCAATCTTCGGAATGTACTTTAGTTTTCCAGAACATGCATTTTGGTTCTCACTTGAAAGGCATCGGAGAGGGTCCAAAACCAGATCCAAAGAGCAATCAAAGGTTTATCGTAAAAATTCAAACGCAAAGTGGTAATTGCCATCCACTCCAGATTTTGACCGCCTACGACAAAAGTCTTTCGGTTTATGGTGAGTTTCAGAGTCCAGAGATATTTAATATTGTTATGGAGTGTGGTGTTCTTGGAAAATTCGTCCATTTTACAAGTAAAAAGGCTTTCTTTGATGCAACATTTGTCGATGGGGGAAAGAAACTGAAAATTTATATGGGAAAACTAGCGCCTTACCAGGAGTGGTAGTTGCTGTTACGCCAAAAGAAACAAAGAGAATCAAGCCCTAGCTCTGCTGCCTCGGATTTAGACGGGTTGAAATCCAAAATCATTTTACTAATTGGCTGATCGATTTGGCCACCTGGATCACAGTAAAAATTGTGTTAAATATGATGATAATTTGACTTCATTCGTCTCTATATCCTTTAGCTCTTCTTGTCTATTTTAGTTTATTATTATCCGCACAGCAAGTATATACAATTTGTAGCCACTAGAGACATATGCTCTACACCGGGTCCAGTAACCGAGAAGCAGAAATGTCAGACTTCTTCAAGAACCATTGCATGTAACCATCGAGCACTGACTTGCGGATTGTTTTACGTATCACATTAAATGTGGTGACGTTAAACTGTGGATGACAAGCTGACCTAGTCACCACATTTGTCAGATGAGTTAAAAAGAGTTTTGCAAATAAACTCAACTTCTTGAGAAAAACGAGATTCTTAACCAAGAGCGTGTTGGAAAAGTTTTATTTTAGTGTTATCTTGCCTTCCGTTACCTGTCTGGTTACATGGGCTAGCTGCAGTAACTCTGAGTCATTTGGGAAAAACTCCACGGCCGTGCAGCAAAGTTAATTTATAATTTAAAGGATACATCCCATGAAGACTCCCTCAAGACAGCCAAATGGCATTCTTTGGCTTATATTTACAAGACTAAACTCTTTAAATTCATCCATAGTGCTTATAACAATTTATTACCGAAACAAATGTGTGAGAACATAATTGATTGGAGGAAGTCGATATATCTGCTAAGGGGGTCTGACACTGAATATTGTTTTACCTAGGATTTCATCTCGTTACTTAGAACAATCTATTAGTTATAGAGGAGCTGTTCTGTAGAACACAATTACATCAAAGAACTCTGATATTGCTCTTGCAATTAAATTTAATGATTTTCATTTTAAGGTATTTTAAGGTATCTGTTTCAAAAGTTAATTTTAGTAAGCAGGACTATAAACACTTTTAAGCATTTTTAGATATTTTTAGATTTGAATATATTCTTAGGTTTCAAATTTTCTTCTATTATAAGATTATTTTTTAGATTACTGATTTAGGTTAATATTTATTTGGTTTCCTTGATATTTTTATTATTTTAGATTTAGTTGCACGATCCCATAAGCGTATGCTTTAATCATTTATCGTATTGAAATAAAGTTTATGTATGTATATATTCCTATTTAAAAGCTTTATATTCCGCAACTTGGCTTTTGTCATAAACAAGAAAGATGACGTGTTTTATTGCAGACTACAGTGTAGAACCTAAGCAAAGTCATATGTTTTAAATCTCTCAAATCAGGGGCACATTCAGGGATCTGAGGTCGAGAAAGGGGAACAGGATGAATTCTACGTTAGAAGAATCTTACCGCTGACTATGCAAACCCAAACCAGAGTAGGGCGCTAGGTCTCAAGGGAATTCTTAACTTATTTTTTTTGCAGAAGTGATATTTCCTGCGTCACTGTGCCTATTTTAATTAAGAAAATAATTTAAAATGCATCCCATACCAGTATCTTAAACTAAGGATCATTCCCCCTAAATCCTCCAAAATCTATTTTGGTTTGCTAAGGTGCTGTACCAAAACTATTTTTACATATATCAATTTTAAACAATAGGAAAATTTAGGAATCAACAATATTGGTTGTCAGAAGAGTGTTAGGCACTTTGAATGACATATTGTCTGAATTCGGAAAACAATGCACCAAATCTAAAATGGTCTATTCTCACATCGGATCTAAACTTTGTACTGATACTTTTCTTTTTGCTATTATTGAGATATGTTTAGTGGGAAGAAATTACGCCCAAGGTAAAGAGGTCTATATATATTTATTATATGGCAAGGTAATTTCACGCGCTATGGTTGGTCAATTTGCGGTCCATAACTTACGGTACGGACCGAAAAATGAAATGGTTCACTGAGTGTACGTACTTATGATCTTTTAAAACATTCAAATCTTTATCAAAAAAAATATATTTCTGGATGAAAATCGTCGGAAAACCTTCAATAAATAATTAAAGATAACTGAAAGTCACTGGCATTTAATGTAAAACTTATCA